CCATTAAATGAAATCCCTGACAATGCACAAGATCCTTCAGTCAAACTCCATACTCCAAGATACTATTATTATATAATTATGATAATTATGGTAAATATAAATATAAAGTAATAATATTTAAATCATGCGCACACATTTATAATAATTATTATTGTTTTGTAGCTAGAGTTACCTTACTGAATGCAAATTTACCAGTTGCCCACATGATCAACAATCGTTTAAAGAACGGTAGATTCAGATATTCATCAGTCAATAAATACGAAGCTGGAAAGGACCCAGCACCGATTTGTCTTACCAACAAATACAAAGCACCCAACGTAAAACATTTCAAGGCATGTTTATAAGATCCCGGGGGGATTTTATTTGCATCGGGGAATATAGACATTGTGATGAATTTTCGATAGAGATGAAAGGAAAATTGTGGACCAATCAAAAACGCTCCAAAGAAATGTGCATATGCGATCGTTTCGATTAATGATGGAAGCGTTGCCAATTGAATATTTTTTTCGAATGATCTTGGTAGTTTTGGTGCTGGATTTCTTGCTGTTAATTCGGTGCCATTTAATGATGATGGTGGTGGTGTGACCGATGATGTAACTTTTTTAGGTTCATCATTAATTAATTGATTTTTTGGTGGATTGGATTTTAATAATTTTTCTCCGTCCATAAAATCCATTGCGAATCCAATCATTCTCAGACATAGAACGCATTGAGTCATTGTCCAATTAATATCGTAATCGTCAGTTGCATTAAAATAATAACCACACAATAAGTATGTAAAGTTAAATATAAACGCTGCAGCACAAGAAATTCGTCTATTGTTTATAATTGTTCCTAAATAACAAAATGACCAGGTTACCACCGTGGTCAAAAGAGAATGTTTGATATTAGAACGATTGTAAAAGTAGGATAGTAGCAAGCCGGTGATTAAACAGTATAGGTTACGAAGAAAAGGCGCCCATTTAGTTTTCAAAGGACGTAAGAATAGGAAACGATAGAAAAGAGCGGTAGGATAAGAGAATAAAATGGTGAGTATTAAACGAAGGGTTGGTTCCGGTATACCAGTTGCAACACTGAGCTGCTCACTTATCATATTGGTTTTATTATTTTATTTATTTAATGTGAAAAAAATTTTTTTTTTATAAATTTTTTTTTTTTTTTTGAAAAAAAAAAAAAACGAAAAAAAATTTAAAATTTACATTTTTATATTTGATCGATAAAAATTATCAGAGATTTTAATTGGAGCGTAAAAAGAAAGAAAATCCCTTTCCCAACAATAACTATTTACAGCTTTATTTTTTTAGTTAATATTTTGTATTTTGCTTTTTTTTCAAAATTTAGATCAGATTGTAATATTAATTAGTTGATATTATTTGATCGATAAAAATTATCAGAGATTTTAATTGGAGCGTAAAAAGAAAGAAAATCCCTTTCCCAACAATAACTATTTACAGCTTTATTTTTTTAGTTAATATTTTGTATTTTGCTTTTTTTTCAAAATTTAGATCAGATTGTAATATTAATTAGTTGATATTATATAATTTATAATCATTGTCTAATAATATTGTTTTATATATAACAATTGCTTTTTTATACAACAATATTTTAAAATTTTAGGATTTAGTATTATCCTTAATTTTAATTTTTTTTGGGATGAATTTTTAAAATTTTGTCATACATCACAAATCAAAAAACTTAATCTAACCCCAAACCCCAAAAAATTATGATGATTTTCACGTGCATTGCTATTTTTATTATCAACATTTGCAATAATTTGCAGATCTGGGGAATGGTATTACGTCATGAATATCATCCAGGCTGGTTATGTATTGTAAATATCTATCGAACCCAATTCCAAATCCACCGTGAGGAACACTTCCATACTTCCTCAAATCCAAATACCATTTATACTGTTCTTTATCCAACTTCATCTCATCCATCCTATCCTCCAACTGCCCATATCTTTCCTCTCTCAAACTCCCACCTAAAAGCTCTCCAACATCAGGCATCAACAAATCTGTGCACGCAACAGTTTTGCCATCTGGATTCAATCGCATATAGAAAGGTTTGACGTTTTTTGGGTAATTTGTGACGAAAACTGGTCGTTGGCAATAATTATTGGACAAATATATTTCATGTTCTCTATGCAACGACTTACCCCATTCTGGTTGATAGAAGAATTTCATTTTAGATTGCTGAAGTGCTTTGATTGCCTCGGTATATGTCATCCTGACAAAACTATTTCTTTCGGTGAGACTCTCCAATTTTAAAAGCAGGTTCCGATCATACCATTTATTACAAAACTCCAGATCTTCGTTATAATTGTCTAAAACATATCTTGTCACTTCGCGTAAACAGCCCTCTATGAAATCTAATAG